AAGGTCTTTTCCAACCTAAATGATTCTATGATTCTATTCTGGCATATTTGGACACTTCTTTTAGAATTTACTGTAACTTATCTTTTTGACAGTTTTTATGTTTTAAAGTTCTTCTTATAACTTAACACTTCCTGGAATGTTTTATTTTCATATAACTCTTTTGCATTAGCTTTTTTGCACAGTACAATGTTCACTTAATAGTCTTCCTAGGTTAATTTGTTAATGGTCTGTTTCTTGGTTGTTTGGATTTTTAGGGTGTGTTTTACTTTTTTTTTTAATCACTGGTAACCCTGTAAATCTTCAATTACAGATAAGTCAAAAGTTTAATTTTCTGTCCTTTATTAATTAGAAGAACCTTTTTATAGTGTTACCTGAACATGATATATTTAGGAAAAAAAGTGTATTTCCTGCTTGTGTGGTTAGGCTGACATATTTGCTTATTTTATAAAAAATAGGTAAGTAATATCATTCAAGAATTTCCTTTTTTACAAGAGCCATCTGTTAAAAAATATGAAGTACTTGCATGCTAAATGCTACAAAAACTTCCAGGTGAATTTACTTCAACTTGCAGTCTGATAAATTTGCTTTATACCTGGCTCTCCTAGAATATGGTGCATAAGATCTGGAAATCTGTGGCTGCTTATATACAGGTCATTTCAGGTCAACTGTCCAAGAGAACTAGGGTGGTATACAGAAATTCAGGTTATTAGAATGCTTGTGAGGCAGGGATGTAAATGCATAATCCACGAACATCTCGCTGAAGAACACTTCAATAAACTACCATAATACGCTGACCTGTGAGAGAGTGGTGGGAGCATTTTGTGGGCCCAGTGACATTTTTTTGGTTTACAAAAATGGTCTTTTGCTTTTCTCTCAGGTGAATGCTTAAGGTGTATGTTCTGGAACAACCTTGGCTGCATCCACTTTGCAATGGGAAAGCACAATTTAGGAATTTTTTACTTCAAAAAAGCCTTGCAAGAAAACGATAATGCATGTGCACAGCTAGGAACGGGTAGCTCAGATCCAGGTAAGACTTTTAAGAGACGAAAATAGATGGTGGAAGAGGGGTGGGCAAATCAAGAAAACAGAGGATAGCAGATTTCAGTAATTATCAGCAAAATTCCTGTTTCACCTCTTGGCAGAGGACAGGATAAAGAGGGTGAGAAGTTTGATTATAACTTTATTTTAGAGTACAGTTGCTGTTGCCAGAAACAGATGATTATGAAATACCTTCTTTTTTTGCTGTTCTCTTTGACATGCCATGGGGGTGGGGCAATGAATTCTCTCTCGTTTATAGTCTTTGACCATTAGATGTGACAAAAGGAAAGCTTCTGTAGCCCATTATGTATCATTAAAGATGTTAGTTATAGTCGTGCTGACAGTATGTAGAGTTATCAGGACTTAAAGGATGTGTTTTGGTTTGGTGTTTTTTTGTTGGTTTTTATTTGTTTTTTTTTTAACTTGGAAGATCTAGAAAATGTGGAGTGCAATACCGTTAAATTAGCATTTGGAAGATGGTATATTTCTCAAACTTTCTTACTGAACAATTCCCAGACTTGTATGGGAAATGTTCATCTATTGTTTAGTTTTATGGTTAGTTTTATGCATCTGCTTTTGTAAGTATACCAAAGGACAAGAAAATAAATGTTCTAATAAGTTCTCTTACTTTGGTTAGTAATGCTTAAGTTTTTCTTCTCTTCCAAGTGAATGATTTCACAGGTGAAGTGATAACTTTTTAATTTCTTGTTTTCTTTAAAATCTCATTACTATCACACATTTTATTGTTTTTCCTGTTCCTCCCTGGCCCTGTACCTAAGTGCAGTCTTAGATACCAGTGTGAAGACAGAAAATGTTTTGTGCTTGTTAACAGCGAAGTGTTTTTCTTCTGGAATTTATGAGAGTAACAAAGATGTGTATTCTCATGAATCGGGACTTCAGTAGTATTATATAACATTCAACTTGAGTGGCAAGGAACATAAGTGGTTCACATTTAATGTACTTCAACCCTTATTAAGAATACAATTTATTTGTCTTTGGTATCAGCTTTGATGTGGACGGAATTTATTTACAGAGGGAGGCTAGTGAATTTCTGTGATGAAGGGGTTTTTTGATAGTTTTTGAGGGTTTCCCACAGCTTCCCTCCTCTTCTCAGAGTTATGTTTTCAGCTCTCCTGACCTGCACATCCAATATTATGTTATCCTTTTCTGCAGGTAAAAAATTTTCAGGGAGACCCATGTGTACGCTACTGACTAACAAACGGTATGAGTTACTCTACAATTGTGGAATTCAGCTCTTGCATATTGGGAGACCCTTAGCTGCCTTTGAATGCCTGATTGAGGCAGTCCAGGTTTATCACTCAAACCCTCGTCTTTGGCTGAGAATAGCAGAATGCTGCATTGCTGCCAATAAGGGGGTAAGTAGATTTACAAATTCCTTATTTTGATTGTAGTTATGAAATGCATCTGATCACAAAAGGAAGAAATGATGCCTTGAGTTGAGCTATACATTTTAAAGGCCTTATATTGCAACACCTCTGTGTAAGTCCAGATTCATTCTTTTTATGTGTATGTGTGTTTGCATGTTTAATCTGAAGCTGCAGTAGGTGGAGGAAAACTACCATAGAAACAGTGTCTTGAGACCCAGTCTTTAATTGACTTTTCTAAGATCAGAAGAAGAATTTGAGTAGTCTCTTCAAAAGATTGGCATGAGAAAGCACCTAAGTGGCTGCTGTAGCAAAAAGTTACAAGTTTTTTGCTGGAGAGACTAGTTAAACATGATTTTGTTTTGGCAATTTACCATCACACCCCTTTGGCATTCCATCTCATAATCTGAATGGGTAATCCTGTATTGGTTTGAAGCACATTAGATTTTGCTAAGTCACCTGATGGTTTACATTACTTTGTCTTGAAATAATTTTAGAAATAGAAGGATATTATTTGGAGAGAAATTTGTATTATTCTCTGGTGAGGCATCACTTCTGGAAGCAATATGTTCTTTCTGTAGTGAATGCTCTCTATTTAAAATGTAGATACTAACATTAACAGTTTGACCTACTATTTATAGATATTTTATGATGCCTCAGCTTTCCACACTCATTTCGTATTCATAGAAAAATCTTGGGGTTTATGTTTTTTTATATATATGGATGCATATATATGGTATATATTAAAACCAACCAACCAAAAAACCCTCACAGGTAATTCTGTCTCTCTTGTGTGAATGGAGGAATTAAACTTGTGTAAGATCTTTTCTCTGTACTAAGTTTTGTACTTTCAAGAATTTCTATTACTGGATTATAGAAACAGCAAGATGAGATTGGAGTCTGTGACCAATTCTAGTAACCAAGGAAAGAAAATTTTCATGGCTACCCTTCCAGGTTTGATGTTAGCGTTGAGGCTTGATGCACAGAAACAACTGTGATAGCTTTTGTTGCTGATGCTTTGAGGAGGAAGGGGTTTTTCTTCTTTTGGGAAATTTATTGACTGGATTTTTATGTTTATACTCTAGGAATTACATTACAGCCTCTGAAACGATGAGTTTCTATGTTAAGTTTTAGCTGGAGTAGTAGGGGAAAACATAAAACTATCCAGTAGATATTCTTTGTCTCTATCTAGCTAGATACTAATGCGTAAAAGATATGACTGAAAGTATGTTGCTGCTGTTTTAGCAGATAGTAAGATTAGTTTTTTGATGTTTTCATGAATATGGTTATTGGATCAGACTGGTGAATAATCTTGTTTAAAAAAAAAAAAAAAGCACTATATCCTAGAACTTTATTGGAAGATGCAAAGACTCTTGTAGAGGACTACTAAAAGTATTTGGCTAAAGAGAAGCTTCCTTCCTGGGATGTTCTGAATTATTTACAGTTTTCTTGATGTACAAGTAATATAAACTTAAACGCTTCTTGTTTAATTCTGTCTACTGTAAATCCACTGTCCTAATTCAGATGTGGCTTCATTTTATGGGACTAAGCTGGATGTAGGTAACAAGATATGCTCTGATTTCCATTGAAATCTTTGCCTGCGTTCTTCCTTCTCAGCCAGCCAAAACTCATCTGAAGTTTCATTATTTTCTCACTCTGCTGCTGCTGGAGGTTGAGAGGGGTGAGACTGTAGTGTGGCTACCAGAAAAGTGGCATAGGCTGAGGAAGCAGAGATCAACCTTCTCCATCTGAAGCTGTTATGATCACAGCTGCTGGGGAACTGAATCCCTTCCACTGGCAAAGTCTGTGGAAACCTGCTGATAGTGGACATACTGCATGCCCTCTGGGGCATCTTGGTTTCAACCTGTTGATCCATGTCTGTTTAGGATAAGCCCGTATGTTAAAATTCAAATGGGTAGTGGGGACAGGGATCATTCATTCTTTTTAGAAAACTGCACCAAAATAGTATGTCTGTGAAATTAGAGGTACTGTGCTTGATTCCCTGTGAAACTGTAATTCACCCATCATGTGTGGGCATGACGATGTAATCTGTAATTGCATGATCCCATGCAGGTATTTCCATAGTATGCCCATTTCACTCAGTGCACAGGATGGGTGGGATTAATTGAACAAACAGCTATATTCACTCTATTTTTCCCCCCCCTTCTGAATTCTTTGTTTTCCCTCTCTGGATGGTCTCTGCACCTTTATTTACTGCACACTATCCAAATCCTTCTAAATACAAAAATTCATAACTTTTCCCTTGGGAATTTCAGTGGTGCTCATTATTTTGGTGTCTCTCTTTCAGAACACTTAAGATATTCACAGCTTTATACGAGAGGTTTGCTTATATCCCCATTTCACAGGCACAACATTGAAGCTTCAAGAGTGTTGGGTCAAAAACGCACTGACTTTGTGTGTGTGCTAGCTATTGTCAGATACTTCTGAGTACTTAGGCTTGTAAACCCCAGCGAGTGCGGGAAGAACAGCTTTCTTCATACTGATTTTGCAAGTTACAAGTCAACACATAGATAAAGAAGACACAGCTGATCATCTCCAGTGGAAAGCTGGATATGGAAGGCTGGATTAGCATAGGTTTTGTGGAAAAAAAACAAAGGTAGGATTCTGTTTACAAGGACAGTGTTTAGCACCCTGGAAAAGGGAAATACAGACCCTTTTGGGGCACTTCTTTTTTCACTGTAGACTAGCCAAAGCAGTAGATCATGCCAGGCTCCTGAAGCCTAGCTTCCTTTCTCCTACAGTTGTGATGTTGTGTGGTGTGCCAGAGAGTTTGAATGTGTGTCACAAAACCAACTTGTTGCTTCCTAAATTTGCAATCTCACGAGAAAAAAATTAACTCTGGATGCTGTTAATATTAAAGGCAAAGGGGAAGTGTCTTTTAAATTATAAGATAGATTTGCAATGTGACAAGTAAGGCCCTAAAATCAATAGTGTATTTAATCTGACCTTGTAACTCAATTTGCAATAATATTCCTTGGTATCTAAGTATGGATTCATATTTATGCTCTGAACACCATACAGAAAAGTAGTTTCACTGAAGCTAACTTTCACCTGCTTTAGTATTTTAGTTTATAAAGTATAGAAGGAAGATGATTCCCTTTCTGCAGTTCTTTAATGCATTTTTTTAAATATATTCTTTGTATCCGAACTATCTGTATGTGTGGGGTTTTTTCCTATTTGACAGTAACTGCCACTATAATGTCAATATTCGTCTTCACAATAGATTGTGATAAATTTTCTGAAAAGTGATATTTAAAATACAGATCTAGGATAAATTTTTCATTACAACTGCAACTCTTTGTCAGTTATCAACAAAGTTGTTAAGATGGCTTATGGTAAAACAAACAAACCCAGTGAATATGGTGTAGAGATAATTCTTAGGACGGATGTTTAGGGTGCTTTAAGTTTGTTTGACCCCCACAATGTCTGCATACTCAAAAAATCTGTTAAATTAATGTAACTCTGCATATGTTGCAGTTCAGCTTCATGTTCCCCATGGGATGGTTTGAGAGCAGCACTCAGAGAGTGTTTTTCAATGCTGTGTAAGCAGGGAGAGAAGATGACAAGCGTTACAGTGCCAATTCTGAATATTATTTGGCTGATAATATGATTTCTTTTTAGATATCCTAGCAGTTCTTTTAATACTACTTGGTTCATTGTTCTTTTGCTTTCAAAATGGAGGAGAAACTAGGTCAGTAGGCTATCAGACAAGCTGTCAGAACTAATCTGTGGTTACACTGTGTGCAGTAAAATCCCTCTGCAACACAAAAAGAATAGAAGGTGTCTGATCCTTCATGGTACTTAAGATTTAAAACTGTATCCATCTAAACTATTAATTCTTACATTTTAGCAGGTGTAAAGTTGTCTTCCAGCTTTCACTTATTGTGTCAAGCTCTCATTCAACAGCCTTGATATTTTAGTCTTTTTTTTTTTTCCCCTTTTAGACTTCAGAACAAGAGACTAAAGGTCTTCCCAGCAAAAAAGGAATTGTGCAATCTATAGTAGGTCAAGGCTACCACCGTAAGATAGTCCTAGCATCCCAGTCAATACAGAATGTCGTTTATAAGTAAGTATGTTTTCCATGGGCTCTTTATTTTGTTGGTATAGCTTTGTTAAGGGTATGTATCTGTTTATCAGGAGGTTTTAAAACTGTCATGGAATAACTGTTCATTTTGGAATTTTTAATGTAGTGAAGAGAGGCATGCTAAAATGCTTGATGAACTACTTAAACATCGTTTGGATGCCTCGCCTGTGGTGGCCAGCAGAGGGCTTAACTGTGTATTCATTGTAACTAAGGTGGCTGTTAAAGCTTAAAATTGATTTATCTGAAATTTATATTTCCAGTTAGCTAAATCTGCCTTCTTTTTCTTACTTAAAAAATATTTTCAGTAATCCACTTTTTCTAAAGTGCAGGAAGAATCTTTTTGCTCTGTCATAAAACTTCGGGAAGTAAAGTCAAGAAAAACAGGAGAACTTCTTGTAACTATTTAGTTGAATCTGCTCACTCTATTTGGGCATAGTGGTGTGTTATCTGTATATAAGAATAGCAAGATAAATACGTCTTCATAAATTAAATGTGTTATATTAAAACATGATTTAACTTTTTTTGGATAAAACTCTCTCTGCATTCAGATCTTTCTGGATCTCTGCTTTTATTTTTTAATTTAGTAGGGTTTCTACTCACTGGCTAACTTCTGTGTCTCTTTAAGTGATGGGCAGTCCTCAGCAATACCTGTAGCCAGTATGGAATTTGCAGCGATTTGTCTAAGAAATGCCTTGCTGCTGCTGCCAGAAGATCAGCAGGAGCCAAAGCAGGAAAATGGATCTAAAACTAGTAATCAGCTGGGGGGAAATACAGAAAGCAGTGAAAGCAGTGAAGCATGCAGGTAAACAGAATTGCGTATAAACCTTTCTTTTTGTCCAGAGTTACTCTGGGCTGACAGTCTTTGTCTGCTACCTATCCTGTTTGGCCAGCAGAAAAAAAAACCGAATTTGTAAATTCTTAGCAGTGTTGGGATATCCAAGGAAATTGTTTAGCTGCTCGTTGGTTTAATTGCTGATATGCTAATTTAAGAATAAAATACTGAGCTCATTCCTACCATTCCTAACAGCTTTAATAAATTAGACAATGAAATTCTTTTTTCACTGGCCATCTTTTTTTCTGTGTTGAAAATGTTATGTTTTCCCACACCCTCCCACCATGCATATTGGTATTTCTCTAATTGTAAGTGAAGTTTCACGTGTTGCAGTGATTTTGTGTGTGTGTGCGCATGTACCATGTACTTGATTGAATATATAAATGTCTAGCAGCTTAGTTGTAAACATTTCCCCATTATCACATTTGACATTCATCAGCCTTAGTATGCTTTGTTGTGTTTGTTTGAGACTAGAAATGGGAAACTGGATTTAGAAGATAAGTAGGAAAGCAGCATGGAGCTATTGCTTAATAAATTACATTTTACATAAAAGAGTTTAAGAAAAATCTCTCTTTTTTTCTTTCTCCTTAAAGCTTCAGTAAAAGTAACTTGTAGACAACATATGTCAAATGTTAAATAGCAGGAAGGTGTGTTAATTTTTTGTTGATCCTGACACTTTCCAAACTTCCTTTTGAAGAGTAACTTTGTTGGACACACTCTGTATTTTCATTAATGACCATTTTGAGAAGGGAAGAGTTACAATAACTAATCTGTAAAGAAGTGGCTATGTTAGAACTTGAACTACTTAGAGTAATGAAAAAACACAATGTTTTTGTCAGACCTAAGTACAGGTAAATTTTAAGAAGATAAGATCCATTTGTCACATGGCAGGATTTACTGCACATATCCTGTGTTGCGTAGGCACAAGGTGCATCTCCATATATTCTGAGGTTGCCTGGGGATAGACTAGGACTGGGAGTTGGTGACTGCTACTGTTACGACAATATTTGAAGGCTGTTCTCTGTAACCCTTTTCTTCCTAATGACAATCCTTCCTGCAAAGTGACCAAATGATTTATAAACTTTGCGGGGGAGGGAGGTGTTTCCTTTTTGCTTACTGAGGTTGGAGGTTGTGAACTAACTTCCCCTGGCAAGCTGTATGCAGCCCATTGAGATGAAGCTCCTCTGGTTAAATGAGGCTTCAATTTTAAGCTTATGGGGCCCACTGAGTGGCAGTGATGAAAACAAAATGGTGGCCCTTACTCAGGTGAGACCTCCTTTTTTGTTTTGTTTTTGATGGTCTTTTTTTGTTTGTTTTTGTAGAAGTGAGGAAAAGAAAACATTCCCTGTATGGGAAGATCCTTTACTATCTTCTGCTTTCAAAACCAGATGCTTCTTCAGCTTAAAAAAAAAATTTAAAAAGGCTCCCTCATATCTCCCAGTGGTCATTGCCAATTTCGAAATATCCAGCAACAAAGCAGGCTATTCTTGAATTTGTGTGTGTCACATTCTGAAAGGTTCTTCAAGGATTTGTTCCTTCTGATAAGGGACCCTCTGCAAGAGAACAGTAAAAGATATAAGGCATTTGAAGAAAGTCACACTAATTGAACAGGAAGGTTTTGAAGCAAATCCCACTAATTGAGCAGGCTGACTGGGAGACAGATTCTTCTGTTATTCACACGAAAACAGTGAATACTTTTGATTAAGGGTATTTTTTTTAATCTATTTTTTTGGCAAAGGCATGAGGTTTATACACTACAACGGTGCAGAGTACAGGTTTCCTTGGAGTCTGCTATCTGTTTTGAAGGTCTAAGTTGGAGTAATCTTACCTGCTTGTAATAAACAGATACGAAACTACATCAATTAAAAAGTTGTTCTTAGGTGGACAGACTCAGTTTCAATTCCGATTTTTTTTTCAATCTGTTTTTTCTAAACATTAGTGTGTCTTTCTGCCAAGGTGTGGCTGTTAACCTTCTCTTCAATTCTCATTCCAGAAGGAGGTTGTCTTTCAGCTTACTGGAGAGCAAAGTTGCATACCTTTTAAGTAGACTGAATACTTGCTCCCCCAAAAAAGCTAAGCATAACTTTAAGAAAGTGGAATTTTATTTAAGGGGGGGGGGGGGGGAAAGACATTTTGAAATAATAATAACGGGCAGCTAGAAGTCTAAAGGAAGCCATAGCACTTTGTGGATTATCTTTCTAGAATATTTATGTAATTGGTTTTTAAGATGTCTAGGGAGAGATCTAGTTCACTGCTTTTCTTACAGGCTAAAAGAAGAGAGGCTACAAATGCAGTGAGTTCTGCATCTCTCCAGTTTAAAGTTCTTGTCCCACACCGAACTTCAAAAATAGCTTGAGGCTGTGGAGAATGGCATGGGTTGTTCGGTCCATCAGTCAAATCCTTCCCAGCAAATGTCCCCCTTCTTCCTTCTCAGATAGAATGGTTAGGATAAGAGCATGTGCCTCAATTTCTGCATAGCTTCATTTCCATGGTTTTTAGGTTATAGAATTTTTGCTGTCCTTTTAAATGGAGTGAATAAATATCAATGCTTATTACACTGAGGATTTTTAATTAATTATTTATAGTCACTCCCTATAATTAATACACTGTTTTTATTCTAGCAATAAAAGTCATGAAGGGGATAAATTCATTGCAGCTCCACCTTCTTCACCTTTGAAGAAACAGGAATTAGAAAACTTAAGGCAAGTAAATAATACAAAATATTCACCACTAAATGAGCCCCCTCTTAAACTGTGCTATGATTCTGGAGTCATTGCTAGCTTATTTTTTGTAGGCACTTGCAGCATTGAATTGTAGCTGTTAATCTAAGGATGCCTTTTTTCAAATGCGTGTGTTTCCTTTCTTCTGGGCTTTGACTCCGAACAAGTAGAAATCATCCAGAATTTCAATTCAGAAGGTAGATCAGTTTGTATTGGATCCCACTGTTATAGGCTTGGCATTATATATTGGGCAAAACTAAAAAAATCAAGTCACCTAATGACAAAGCTAAAAACCTGACAATGGCTATCGTGACTGGTGGAAGGGGTGGAAATGACTGTACAGTACCTTTTTCCTTTCAAAGCCTTGGTAAGGCTAGTTTGGAATTCAGACCACACAACATTATATGCTTGTTGGATGGAAAAAGAAATGAAGGTGGTAAAAGCAGCTATGCTGCTGTCAAATAAGAACAGTGCTCCTTTCAGCAGAAGTGAATCCATAGTTTGCATAAAATAGAAAAATTGCCTCTTTCCAGGCATTTGACTTCTTCACTGTGGAAGAACATAGGTAGAATTTGACTGTAGACTTTTTCATGTTCTCAAAGATCCTTAAACTACTTGTTCAGCAGTCTGAGTGCTCTCCAAACAGAGTAACTCCCATGTGTCTAAATAAGTACTGTGTTATCTGGAACCTCTTTACTTTTCCCCAACAAGATTATCATTTGCTTGCAATGTTAATTATTTCAGGTGGCTGCCAGCCCATTGAAATTCTCTCTCACTATAAAGCTTGCACCTGTTTAGAAAAAAAGAAATCTGTTTTAAGTTTCCATTATGGACAAAGCATACAGTAATTTCCCACTTAAACTCTTGGGTAAACACTCTGTTCCAGCCTAACCCCAGGTAACCTGTGTTTTTATAATGACCAGCTTAACCTTTACTTTGCTCCACTACGTGTAGCAAATCTACTTGTATTCGTTTAAAAGCAATTTAGCAGGAATCTGTGAGGAGACATTACTGAGACCTTGATTATTTATTCTGAAGTGGTACAAGACTATGCTACTCAAAATAGAAAGCACTGGATTAAAAACAGTGATGTGGGTTCGTTGTGCATTGTTTTTTCTTTTTTCTTTTTTTTTTCTCCTGGCTGTTGAAAATGTGGTTGCCACATGTCAAAATTACATGGTGTCACATTGTGATTTTTTTTTTCTTTTTTTAAAATACATAGTCTTTTCTTTCACAATCAGCTGTTGTTATCTACTGATGAAACCTGACAACATGTCAGGAAAAACTTACCAGTTTAGCAAGAATTACATCATATAAGGAAAGGAAAGGCATTGATTTATTTTTTTGCAATACTTGCTTTGGTGGTTAAATCCAGAGGACTAGACATCCCTAGAGTGTGATTTGGCTAAAATGATTTCTAGGTTTCTGCAGATAGCTGTGAAAAGCAAAATATGTTACACTCAAATGTTAGTATATTCCTGTAGTCTTGCTCATTAAGGAGCTAAGTGAGAAAATTAAAATTCTTGTCTAGTCAGGGAAAATTAAGAAAAAATTCTGAATGGCAAGGATTATCCTGAGGAAGAGGTGACTATTCAATTCAGTTTTTCCCTGTTAAGTCACTGGATTGAAAAACCTCTACTGCTTCTAGAACTGAAACAGGCAAGTTAAATGCTTTTTTTGCATGATTTTGTACAGTTGCACATCCTAATAAGAGTTAAAAATGACTGACTGATTTTGCCCCTAAATAGTTCTTAAAAATACCATCTAGAAAAGGCTTATGTGTCATATGTACTGCTTGGTACTTGTGCACAAATTAGTTGAACAGACTATTCTCATAATAAGCAGTAATTCAACTGCAAGGTCTTAAAGGCAACAAGCAGAAGGCTGAGGACACCAAATGTTGCTAAGAATTTATGCATAGGAAGTAGAAACTCCAGATTTTTTTTTTCTTCTGAGTTTCTTCTAAATAATTCTGCTCCTTACTTCTCACCCTCTGAGAGGCCAATTCCCCTGCTCTGCTCTCAGCCTGTGGTATGTCTCACCATGCCAGAACAACCCAATGCTGTTAGGATACATGAAGAGTAAAAGGAGTTCTGGTAGACCACAGTACTACATTTGGAAAATTTTGTGGATTTTATTGTAAAAGTTGAAATGGATAGCAACAGACCTTGTTGTAGCCTTTTTCTCCCTAGATTGAACAACTTTGAAAATGTTAATTCCCCTTCAAAGCAGCTAGAGATAAAAGAATAGTTTGATCAGCCACTTTGTCCTGCATAGACTTGAACTGCAAGCCCTTGCTATAATGTGTGATCCAATTTTACCCTTTTTTCTTTCTTTTGACTCATCAGTTGGCCATCTCCAGTCCATCGTAATGCTTTATTTTATTTACTCGTGTATCTTTGAAGTGTGCATACCGTAGTATTGTATGTGGTATTCCAGGAGCATCACTGACACTGCTAATAATTTCACAGGTAATACTGTAGGGCCCACCATTGCTCACCAGTATACCTTGCCTCTTCTCCACAACTACCCGGTGCTGTGCTGCCTCATTTGTCTAAAGATTGCAGTGGTCTGTTTGGCCCTGTCATGGTGCTGGGAGCTCACAATGACCATCATCCCTAGCTGCCTCACTCTCTTCTTCCTCACTGTCAGCCACTGCGTAGTTCTCCCCCATCTCCCCTTTGCCGGTGCTGAATTTCCCCATTGAGTAAGCACCATCTGCATTCTGTATTTCTTAATATTTTCATTTGTTTTGTATGCATTAAAAGATAAAAAGTAGCACAATAGTAGAGATAAACTATCTTAGTTAGCTTTCTAAACTATTTCAGATTAGTGATGTTCTCCAAATGGTTTAGAAGTGCCATTTTTTGTGCCTTTGTAGTAAGTTTTGAAGAACTGGATTTGCTCTGGCTTGCCCTTTGCCTGAGAAATAAGCCAAGTCAGATGTGGAGTTTGGGTTCTGTAAACTAGCAGTTGGTGTGGGCTGACAAATCTTGTTGCCTAGACCTACACAAGAGGCTGTTTGACATGATCTGGCAGTTTAAAAAAACATTTTTCTTTTTCCTAGTGCAAAGGCAGCTTTATTTAGGGCATGCAGAGGCTCAGTGATGCTGGAAGTCTGCCGTGCTCAAAGGCGACCTGTGGAGTTTTGTCAGAATCCTGACTGGGGTGAAAAACTAGTTTGTCTTTTCCCTTGTGGTGCAATTCTTCTGCTCCGGTTAGCTGTCAGCTCTCTTGAGTGTTCGGTTTAACCAGCTCAACAATGGATCCAAGTGTGCAAGAACAGTACTGCAGGGAAGTAAACCTGAATATTTTCCTCCTCTTTAGATGGCTGTTGCTGAAGAATCTTTGCCAGCTCTTACATGGCTTAAACATTGACGAGTCCTTAGAGCAGAGGAGTAGGTTTCAGTTTTGCTGGATTACCTATTGTGTAACTGGAGTGCATCTTGTGTTGGAGTTTACACTTCCAGAAATAAAAACAGGCTTTAAAAAAGTTGTGGGAAATAGAAGGCACATATTGACGTAAGGGGCAGTAGCAGCCAACTCTGCAGGCTTTGACTTGTGTCTAAGGGTATTTAGCTGGTGATGCTTAGCATCTCTGCTGGTTTAAAAGCTGTGCTTCCTTGAGGCAAAGACAAAAAGAGGCTAGTTAGAAGCAGGCTGTTATTACAGAGGCTTTGGGTTTGTGGGGGTTTTTTTCCCCACCCCGTTCCCTCCCCCTCCCCAGTCACAACCTTTCAGAAATATTTTAGGTTTGGGACTTGAGCTGGGGAAGCTTTCCTCTCCCTCTCTCAGGCTTTTGTATGTGTTCAGATTTGATGTGACATCTGGGCACGGTGGAGAGGAAGTGGGGGGTAGGGAGAAACACTGGAGAAGTTTCTTATCCTGCTTGTGCATAATTAAGGAGCATGCCTCCTGGGAAAGAGGAATAAAGGCACCCCAGGTCCTGCCACGAATTACATGACTTACTGCTGGACTGAAAGTGGGCTTGACAGTTGCCAGAAGGTTGGCACGGTAATAGCCCACCTACCGGCGGGGGGGGGGGGA